GAGAGAGAGAGAGAGTGAAAAGAATTAAAAGCTGTCGGCTACATAGTCCACAGGTGGCCACTACACGGATGAAATTCGAAACCTTCGACCACCTGAGTCATAAGATACTGCCTATCCTGCAACTTTATACCGCGTCTATATATAGAGGGGGATGCGTTCCGAAAATGGAAGCCTATATAGCTTGAATACGGGGTGGCTGGCTTCTAGTTTCTTATTGTAGTACATACAGCCGGGAACACCCTGGATTACGATTACTGCTACAATTTTTTATCACGGGCCTGTCTACCAAGATCTTAAACCCAAGCCAGCTCCTCGGAGAGTTCTTCAAGACTGTGCTCGAAGCACATCTCCCATGAGAGTCCTCCCCGGAGAGACTTCTTTTTCTGGGTCGAGGTTCCGGTTTATTTCTGGAGGGTTTGGGGTTGAGGGACAGGTGCTCAAGTTTGGGTTCAGGGTTTCGGGTTCGGGGTGCAGAAACGCTTCCTGGAGCCGGTAACCATTCCTGGAGCCGGTAATCACAGCCCAAGTTACGGCGCTCACCGAGACTACGAGTGGGTCAGGAGGATTCGATGCACAGTATCTCATCGAAGGGCCAGAAAGACGAAGGGCACCTAGAACCTCTGGTACGTCTCACCAACGGCCGCAAGGTTGAGGAAGTTTGGGGTTTCATGAATGCTGTCCGATCAAGACGGAGAAGACGTTGATCATGTTCTGCAAGAGGCGCGGGAACCTCGTTGACAAGACATTGCGTGGCGACCACTCTGCCGAAATGACGCCCTAAACCCTAAACCCTAAATTCCAAGCCCCAATTACTAAACTATAATTCCTCGGCCCTAAGCCCTAGACCCTAAGTCCTGAGCCCTACCATCTACAACCCTAAACCCCAAGCCCGAAGCTCTGCCCCTTCAGCCCTGCTCTTCGCAAGATCGCTTTGGGAAGGGCCTGGGCAAGCTACTTCGAGGGTTTCAGAAGGTTTCAGCACTCACAACTGTTTCAGAAGGTTTAGGGTTTAGGGTTTAGGGGCTTAGGGTTTAGGGGCTTAGGGTTTAGGGGTGTAGGGTTTAGGGTTTTCAGGGTTTTCAGGGTCAAAACTGCCCCGGAGGTGTCCGGACAGGAGCCCAGTCTGGTCCCTGAAGTAGGATTGGAGCTCCTGGATCAGTCTACCCGTGCCAATCCGAAGAAGCCCTGAACACCCCCTTGACATACCAAATTTCGCATGGACATGCTGCTGTGATCTTGCCTAGCTGCACGATCACCGTAGTACCTTACTACTAAATCCCCAAGCTGCTGATACGAAGAACAATACTGAGACTGATACGAATACCAATACTAAGACTAATACTAATACCAATACTAAGACTAATACTAATACCAATACTAAGACAAACACTAAAACCAAGACTAAGACTGGTACAGTACTAGGATAGGAACCGCCTGGTACTAGGATAGGGACCGTGACAACGGAGCCTTGCCCAAGCCAGGTCACGAGGCGCCCATGTCTTGGATGATATCAAGGACGCGGATCGCAGCGAGTGCACCTGGGAAGACTTCTCATAGCAGCAGGAGAGGTAGCATTAATAGGAGACGTAATACTTGTAGTAGTAGAAGCAGTCGTACTAGAGTGATAGCTGTAGTTGTAGTTGTGGTCGTAGTTGTAGTAGTAGCAGCAGGAGGAGGAGTGCTACATTATTCTTCGTGGTACTATTCGAAGCAGACTTGTTCAGAAAGCGTCGCCCTGGGAGGGCACATTTTGTCGTATTTTGAAGACATGGACTTCCAGGTGTGGTCTTCACAAGTTGGATGAGGCATGTCCTGGTTGGCATAGAGTAAAACAAGAAAATGAAATCTCCTGGAGTAGACATCAGGAACGAGGGACTGCGGATATACACTCCACTTTGTTGTTTGCAATAGCAGCAGGAGTCTGAGCAGTAGGAGCAGGAACTACAGCAGTGGTGGAGAAGGGTCAGGCTCCATGCGCTGCGCAGGACACATTTAACATTTATTGAGGAGAGGTCATGGTGCCTGAAAAACTCGTTTGTAAAGCTGTGGAGGAAGGCTCGAGCCCAGGTCTAGAGAGACAGTCCAACTTCTGGCAGACGGTTCGAAACTAAACTAACATGAAAGCCTGCGCATGCCCCACACATGACCGGTCTCTCGCAGCTATTCCCTGCAGGCAAAGCGGCACATTGAAAGGATGAGAGCCGCAATCAGGTGGCGCTCGTTGGGATACAGCGTTGTGCCTGTTTCAGCAGAGCAACTCATCTCCTATCTTCGTGGTTACAACATACGCCAGTTTCGGCACCTTCTCTAATGAGACACCATGGAATTTTGGACAACGTTGGAGTCATTCCCAAAGGTTGCCTAGCTACTGATGGCCATGGATATTCCTCTCGCAGATGACGTGCCAGATATCTTCAAGTCTGGGGGATATTGTACGTTCATGCACGAACTATTGTCTCACGAAGCTGGCTGGTGCATGGTCACTCATGGCGTTCTAAAGGTGACTTCGATGACAACTACTACAGTACGGCAAAGTTTTCTCTATGTAATTGTTCATTTGTATGTGCATGCATGCGTATATATATATATATACACACACAACATTTCTACATCAAGAATTAGTGTACGTTTATACACGTGTTACATTGGAGCTAGCACACGTTCTGTAAGTAGAAAACCTGACCATCTCTCGCCATGTCCCACTGGAGGCAGGCCTAGGGTCTCGTGAAAGAAGTCCGTCTCCCGGACGAACATGTGAACACCCCACAAGGTGGACCATGCGAAGATCATCCCAAGGATGTTCTGGAACTTCTCAGTCCTCAGTGTAGATAGTTCTCGGCCTCTGGCCAGGCTGGGAGCAGAGGTTGAGGGTTTTCGTTTAGGGATTCAGTCGTAATGTGTCAAGCGAGTCTACTAACAAAAACGACCCATGCCGGCTGCCCGTCTTAAGCAATGACGAGCGAACGAGCGGCACAGCAAGTGGAATGCTGGCAAGCTAAACGTCCTGCATGCGCTGGGCTGTGAGGGGTTTGCATGTGTGATTCTCGACAAACAACTTGTTTAAGCCTTGTGCCAGAAGTCAAGAAGTTAAATTCCCTGACCTGACCAGGCAAAGCGGCAGCCAAAGAAGCAGTCGGTTCTCACACGGGACGAACGTCAACCTCGGCTTGCCGATGATATGGCGGCATTCATTAGTAGATAGAATAGGGTTTCAGGTATGTTAAAGTAAAAATAGCAAGGAACCCGAAGGAACAGTATGACTACTTACTCGGGCTTCTAGAGGCCTTGGAAAAGGTAAGGCCGGATGCGGGCTACAGGAATGGTGCTTGCAACTGCGCTTGCTTTCTGCAGTAGTATCAAGCACATGCTGGAGTACTACTAGCTTGCTTCGAAGCATGTTCCAAAATCCTCTAAAATCCCACATTCAGGCTGCGCGAGGGAGATGGCCAGCGCCACCAACCCGCATAGGAGAAGCCTGCACTGAGCCCGACCGCTCGGCACTGGATGTCTGAATTAAATGGCGTGGCGTATCAGTATGTGCTCAGCCTACATCTGACCGAGTGCCCCCGCAGCCCACAGCCCGCGGCGGCATGATCATTACGACATGTGGCCAAACACTGGTAAGCACGCGATGTACGGCTGCACGACAAAACCATGGACGAAGTTGTTAATTGTTTTTTACACGTACATTTAAAAAACACAGTTAACAACATGCTTCGCGAAAGTTGAAAGCAGCCGCGAGCCCCGAATCTGGCAGGACAACCAGGAGGTGGGCAGACCAGGGATAAGCCTCAATGTGACAAGCACCCTGAACTAAAACCCAAATGATGGCATGCACAGAGTATCGCACGAATGTACTACTACTGCATGGAAATGGAGTGCATTTATGGTGCATGTCTGAACTGTCTGAACGTATAGGTGGGTGGTACACGTTGATAGGCAAGCATTTGTGCAAGCAGCCCGTGGCACACATGCAGGCAGCCACATGTGGCGAGGTGTATACACACGAACAGGTTTCTGCGCGGGCATGCTCTGTGCGCCAATGCGACTATGAGGGACGCACATGCACAGCTATGTGTATACATATTGACTAAACAGAATACCATATATTACATATACACATTAAAATGTATAAATAAATAAATAAATACATAAATAAATAAATAAATATATATATATATATTTATTTATTTATTTATTTATAGGTACATATGCAGGCATGACCTGGGGTAGAAGCGCTTGAAAACCAAGCAATCGTACGGTGGCAGCAGCGAGACGATGTACACGATGACGCAGTGTGCTGTAAGCCTAGACTCACCACGAGCCCCAAACATCCCAAACCAGCCATCGGACCCTGAGATAGCCAAGGCACATTCCGATCGTAAACATGCCGGAGGGGTGGTATGGGCTGATCCTCCCGGCCTCGCAAGAAATCTGACTAGGCTTCTCTGTGCAGGATCCCAAAAGGAGCTCTAGTAAGACTCTGGTAGAAGCCCAAGCTGTCGGGGAGACTCTTCGTAGTCAGACCATGGCTTCGAGATCCCGACCCCACGGACTGCTTGCGCCTATCACGATGACGTCGTATTTGTTGCTGATGTTACACTTTTGAAGAAATGCGCTGCAATCCGAAACAGAGCATGGCTTGCAGTTTAACCGCCAAGCAGCCATATCCGGGAGCTTGCCTGCACCGGGTAGCAACGGGGCGACTCAACACAACGTTTCGGTTTCGGGCCTCAGCGCAGTTTCAACATGGTAATGATATATATATATATGTGTGTGTGTGTGTGTATGTATATATATATATATACATATGGGTTTAAGGTTTAGGGTTCATGGTTTTAACCTGGTCGTGACATGGGGTTGTGCTTAACCCCAAGAGCATCCTGCCGCTTCCCCAGCGAGCCTGATGGTAGTAGCATGTCAGTCAGAAAAAGCACTCCAGATCAAGTAAACAGACAGTCCGTTGTTTAAGGGAAGGTTCAAAACCCCGTCCTCCCCTCTCTGGTCCTTCTGGTCCTTCGGTTCAAGCTATATCGAAATGATACCATCGACTGAGCTTTTTTTTGGCTTTTGCAGGAAGGGAGTCCCCAGTACGACACTTTGACCCGATTTAAGGTTAGGGCGGTTAGGGTGCTCTCCCTTTCGAGACCCTATACCCTCAACACTCTTAGCCCCACCTGACAGTGAGAATCGCAGGACTTGCACCGTCAGGAAAGAACTGGCGAGGCTGACGATGTCGTTCTCAGCCTGGAACATCGTACCGTAATGAAACGGGGCTTAGTGGTTTAGGGTTGAGGGGGTTTGTGCGCTATTCAGCACATGAATGAGTAGCTGCACTGAGGCAGCGATCGATCTTTTTTGAGCAGGGACCCCAAAACCCACAAACCCCTAAACCCTATACCCGAGGCTGGGGGGACGCTTTTTTGGACTTTTCTTCCGCTCAGAGCTATCTCGCCTCCTCGATGGCCTCATCGAGCATGACCTGACGTCGAGACGGTGCGGGGTTGAAATATGCATTCTAAGGTCATATGAAAAACTGAGCTATGTACCTGTATACTTCACAAGGTACTGTGTTACATTGTGTGTATGATACACACACACACACACACATATATATATATATATATATATCTCTCTCTCTCTCTCTCTCACAAAGGCTCAAGGGATCTAAGGGGATGAGATGACGACAAAATGACAGACAAGTCGGCTGAAAACGACTCTGCCGGGGAAGGCATCGCTTCTGCAGGAACATATAGGCTGGACTTGGATCGGTTCGGGACCTACTGTAGGGCCACAGGGTAGGACTGAGCCAAAGCAAAACCAAGCAAGGCCCGACGAGAGGAAGGCCAGCGCAAGCAAGACCAGGAGTCATCGCAGGCAGTAGAAGCAGAAAGCAATCCGCGTTCTGCAGCGGAAGCTGCGGTTGACAAGGGGGCTGTCAATCGCATCATGGCAGATGCTCCATACCACAAGACCGAACTGCTGAGTGCTTTTGCGGTCATTGCACGACGTCTTGCGATGCTCTGAGAACACGGCGACTCTTTCGTCCTCCTTATCGTAGATCGTGTAGAGCCTCGATGCAGTGCAACCCCTGAAAGAAGAGAGGGTTTCGCGCCCTTGGCACCCGTGCCGTTGACTAAAACCAGGATACTGGGAACTCACGCAACGTAGATCCGATTACAAGGCCCCACTTTAGACTTGATCTTCGGATCCCTATTGATAATTATTTTGAGGAAGGAGTTTCTGAATCAGGGGTCTGCATCAGTGGAGACGCATAGGTTGCAGCCTTATCGTATCATGTGTTTTTTATGGATACATACATATTTCTATAATATCTATGAGAGAGAGAGAGAGAGAGACTGCCTAGATTCATGCCGCAGTTGGCAAGGCCGAAAAGGCAATGCCGAAACCCCTAAACCCTAAGCCAGCTTTAAACATTCTGCGGCCTTCTGAAAGCAAAGCAAGATAAACTGGACAGCTTGCCCTCACCTGACCCACTTGGACCCATCATCCACACAAATCGAATCCTCGGTTCTGCTCCCAGAATCACCTTACCGTAAACCCACAGCATATACCCCACAACCCGCGGTTCGACTCGCCTCCCACACTCGCACGGGGCAGGCACGGATTCATGGGTCGGGCGGTCCCCTGTTCAGGGTCTAGGGGCCAAGCTTGAAGTTTAGGGCTTAACCCAGAACCGAATCGTGAACCTCAAACTTCTCAAACTTTGAACTTTGAACCCGAAACATGAACCCGACACCTCGATCCAGAACCACCTCCCTTACAGGCGGGCCTGAACAAATCCATACCGCGGAATAGTATTCCGATGCTCACCTGCATCTCAGGGCCGCCACACACTCAAATACGAGGTCTTCTCGCCGTATCACTTATTTAGGTGTACCTTGTAATGATATTATCACTGCCCACTATTCCAAACGAACCGGGTATCACGGGTTGCAGGGGTTTACGGTCGAAGGGATGGAGTGGATGGTGCGGGCTTCATGATGATCCCGGAGATCAATGACATCGGCATCTCTTCCCTGTAAGACCAAGAGTACGCAAGGCCAGAAGCGTCATTGGACATGCTGTTCTGATTCCGAATCTATGGAAAGATGAGATAGATGGAGACCGTGGACTTGGATGTAGTATCTTCGTCTGCATCCGAACTTGCAGACCCTGCATCCCATCCGCAACTCGGGAAGTGTCTCACACAGCGCCCGGGGAAGTTTAGATGTTGCACATATTCTTCTCGTTGTTGCTGTCATCTTTGAAGTGACAATGACGAAGCACGAACAACCCCCCCCCCCCCCCATAAACCTTAGCTAGTTTCTAGACC